CACACCCATATGCTGTGACTTGGCTCTAACCCACAGGACCTTAACTATTAGGAGTTCAATAAGTATGTATCAAGCATCTTCTCCATGCTTCTCCACATACTGGTGAAGACACTAGATACCAGCACAGACACAGTCTTGCACCTTCCCTTAAGGAGCTCACAGTCTGGCAACTGAATGTGCAGAATACAAATAATCTAGTAGGAAAATGAATCATATTGTGTCACAAGTATTTAATTGCAAATCTTAATGAGTGCTACACGAGAAAAATATATAGTAGAATCAGAAGTAAAGAAAAGGGTAAACTGGCATTAAGTTGACTCCTGAATGATAAGCATGCCTTTCCTCACAGGAACATGTAGAGTGCGCTAAGCAGACAGAAGCGTATACATCTGCAAAGAGCAGGAAGTAGGTCAGGACTCAGCATGCTGGGGGACCTGACTCAGGCGTCAGAGGAAAGACTCACACGTGACAAGCCCAGAGAGACAAACAGGGAATCATACATGGATTTGGGGTCCATATTAAGGATTTTGTGTCATCAGTGAATCCAGATGAACCTGCTCAATTCCTTCCATTGATGGTGTCTATGCTTGGTGGCTTATGACACAAGAGCAATGCATTTCACTGTCCTACCTGACTATCCCATGAGCAGTGACTTCATAATGTACCTCTTCCCACACCGGAAGGTATGAGACATGCATATCCCAGGTAAACTTATGCAGTATTCTGTGTGGAAAGATTTTTCGAAAGATGGAGAAGGGGAAAATGCAGCTAAACAAGGGAAGCTGACATTGCTGTAGTGTAAAACTTTTTATTTTATTTTATTTTTGTATGTATTTAGTACAGAGTCTACAGGGTCTCACTACACAGATCAGACTCATAGTGATCTTCCTGTTTTCAGCCTCCCAAGCACTGGGATTGCACCATGCCCAGTCTCAGTTCCATCTCAGCATGCCCCGGGATAAGGCTGGCATGGCACGCTGTGCAGTGTAAACTTTAAGACAGCTGTTACAAATCTTCTCCATATGTTCCAGAGAGCAGAGAAAAGCAAGAGTATGATCTGGGGTGAGATGGAAGATGCAAAAATATACAAATGGATTTTTATAATTGAATCCAGTAGCTGAAATTAAAAGAATACTAGATGAAATTACAGTGAAAGGATTGCAGGAGAAAACACTAAAGAGCGTAAACACAAAGTAATAGAAGCTATTCAGAATGAAGCACAGAGATCTGAGAGTCTGAGCAAAATGAACAGAGCATCAGTTAGCTGTGGGACAATATTAAGTGGCCTAATATATATGTAATTGTGTCCCAGAACGGTAGAGACAGAAAAAGCATCAGAGCAAATCACAGCTGAAACTTCCAAATATGATAAAGACTTAAAAGAGACTAGACAAAACCACGTCAAAGCACATCACAATCACATTGTCAAAAAGTAATGATAAAGAGAAAGTCTTAAAAGTAGACGGAAGAATATACATTATATACAGAAGAACAAAAATAAATGGTACTGCCGGGCAGATGGCTCAATAGGATAAGCGCTTGCCTTGCAAGTACAACGGTCTGAGTTCAATTCCCAGTTCTGCACCCGGACCGCATCCAAATCATCCCAGCTCCACAGAGAGACTCAATTCCTACTGGCAAATGTGCTTTCTCTGACCTGTAATGCCCACAGTGAGAAAATTAACTCTCAAAAATAAATGGTAGTAGACTTATTCTAAGCAATGTAAGTCAGAGAACAAAGAAAGACATGTCTAAACTGTTGGGGGAATCTGCCCACTTAGTACTCAAAGCAAAAAATTATTTTACGGCACACACTTGAAATCACAGCTACTGGGGAGGCTGAGGCAAGAGGACTGCAAGTTCAAGCTGAGCCTGGGCAACTTACCGAGATCCTGTTTCAAAATAAAAGACAAAACGTGCTGGGAATTTAGCTACTGAAAGGCCCCAGATTCGGTTCTCAGTATCAATAGAGAAAACAAATCTTTCAAAATGAAAACAAAACAATGTTCCAGACATATAAGGGCAGAGATAACTTCTTACTAGCAAATCAGAAAAAAGGAATTCCTTTAGGTAGAAGAAAAATTTTGTCCGTGGGATATTCAAATTCATAAGAGGAAATGAAAAGTTCTAGAAAGGCACAAATATAGAGGAGTTTTTCCTCATTTCTAACTTCTTGAAAAGATAACTGTATAAATATTAAAGCAAAAATAATTTTTATGGCCTAAATTATGTATACAGGAATAAAATGTGCCAGGAGTGGTAGCATCTACCTGTAATCCCAACACTCTGGAGGCTGAGGCAGGAGGAGTGCCACAAGTCCGAGGCCATCCTGGGATACACAGTGAGCTCAAGGCCAGCCTCAATTACAGCAAAACAGAAAGATAAAATGTATTGGAACAACAGCACAAGCGCTGTGAGGGAAGAAGTGGAAATGTATTATTGTAAGGTTCTTACTAAGTGAAATGGCATAATACTGTTTGAAGAGAGACTGTAATAAGTTGAAGATATATGCCATAAACTGAAAGGCACCACTAATGAAACAAACAAAGCTAATAAGCCATTAGTGCAGATTTAAAAAAAAAATCATTTAAAATTACTCAAAAGAAGGCTGGCCAAATAGCTCAGCAGATTAAAGGACTTGCTCAGGCAGACGCAGGGGCTGGAGGTTCAATCCCTGGCCGATCCCTGGCCAGCACGGTGAGCCGGCAATTGAGACAGAGCGTGGTGGTGCCCACCTATAATCCCAGCACTTGGGAGACTGTAAACAGGAGGATCACTCCAAGCCTATCTATGTAGTGAGACCCTGTACTAAATACAAAATAAAAGTGCCATCTGGGGTGGGGAGATAGCTCAGTAGAATAAGCATCTGCCTGGGCACAGGGTCCTGAGTTCAATCCCTGGTACCACAAAAAAAAAAAAAATAGTAATGAATAAATAAAATAAAATTATTCAAAAGAATGAAGGGCAGGAAAGGAAAAAGAACAAAGACTAAATAAGGAAACAGAAAACAGATGGCAGGATCATGTTTTAAACCCAAATTCTGGAGTGAAGAAAGATCCATTCTCTTATTTTGTTTGTGACTGTAGTTCTAAGAATATACACATTGGTCAAAACTCTGCAACTATCGTGCTAAATTTAGTGAACTTTTTTGCATGGACATTATTCTTTGATAAAGATGATGGGTGGGAGAGAATAGAGGAAGGAAGAAAGGATGGCAAGAAAGAAATAAGATGGAGAGGAAAAGGGAAAGAAGCAAGAGAAAAAATAGAGGGAAAAATTAAGCATTTCTGTTTTAAATTTAAAAGTACAATTATTTAATAGTTCCCACTGGCCCTTTCCCTTTCGTGGAAAACACTTCAGGCTTGGCTTCTGCCCACATCTACTCTCTGGTGGTCTCACCTCCTGCCTCAAGGAAACTAAGGAAGCAAAGATAAGGGCCTCCCCAAGAGAAAGTCTGGCAGCTGATGATAGAGAGGCTTTCACTTAATTACTTGAGAAAAGGGAAGCAGTCTAGCTCTACATAACGCTGACCTCTCCCCTTCCTGAAATTGCTTACTCCATCTCTACCACACCTTCCTTTAATTGTGGGGAGCCGCGCCCAACCCACTGCTTTTCTTTTCATCTTGAGCATTTTAGTTCCCCATCTGTTTCTACACCCTGTTGCCCTGCTGGCAGCAGTCGAGTAATGCTGGGGCTGTCGCAGAAAGTGGAGTGGGGTGGGCCGAGCACAGTTAATGGGTCATTGGGTGCATGAGCAACAGGAGCAAGAAATCTTAACTTCAGGGCATAGACACAGTTCTTCCATACAAAACCAGATAGACTGTGTGCAGGAGCTGGACCCCGAGGTACTGGGGCAGAGTGGAGATAATCAGATGGTAGAAATGCAGCAAAGAGATAAAGCAGGGCTGAGGAGAGCTGCAGGGAAGTTGTGTCACCTCCGGAGCCCAGTAAAACAGCACACAGTTTAAGTGTGCATGAGTATAATCAAGACGGATGGCTAAGTACAAATAAGGCGACTTGTCAAGGACCATAGAGAAAATACAACCTGTTCTTCAGTCTGAAAAAAGTGATCAGAGTCTCAGACTATTTTTAAACAACTGTTGAGATACTTTGGAAAAATAACTTGCTAATCCTAAACTCATTTACTAGTAACAGTTATTCTTCAGCTCATCATACCAAAGCCTTTATAACTATGTGCACATAAAAATAGATAGACTGATTGGAATGTATGATGAATGTTTAAATTTTTAGAAATTTATTAACCAGGAGCCAGGGAGATAGCTCAGAGGCATAAGCACCTGTTTGGCAAGCACAAGGTCCTGAGTTTGATCCCCAGGTCCAAAAAAAAAAAATTATTAATGCAAAAGACACAATGCCAAGAATTATGGAATAATTATGTTGGCAGCAAGGAGAATATTTTGAGTATTCTGAGGGGATACGTGATGTTTCTTTTACTGTAATATATTTTCAAATATAAACATTCACTGTATTTTGTGATCACCTCTCATTAATCAAATATTTGTGGCAACAGATGTCAAATAAAAACATTACAGTGTGCCTTTATCCTCACTTTCACTGGATCTGGCACTGCCTGACTTCTAGCATTTGCACAAGGTCAAAAAGACCCTGAAAGGTGAATTTCTGCAATAGATTCAGGACTCTAAGGCAGGCACAGCAGTGTAACTGCAGACACTCGGGACAGAGTGCTTCAGAACTGCCTCAGCAAGTGTCACGAACAGTGAGAGAAGTGCATTTGAGGTGAGGGAGAGTATCCTGGGAAGAAATGGCTGTGTGGCTTCTATGGCAAGAATCTTTTAGAATTTAAACATTCACTGTACATTCTGATCATACCTCACATGCAACCTTTCCAAATTATGAGGGTTCGCTGTGGAAATGTATACGCTATGTAGCAAGCTCGTCTCAGGTACTTCAGACTGAGGCTGACAGAAAAGCAGCCTTCAGAAGTTGCTCAGGTGCCTTCATGGTTTTTACTCTGCTAGGTGCTTCTTACTTTGACCACACATCCGCTGTGGAGAAAATGGATGATGCGGTGGCCCCAGGCCAGGAGTACACCTATGAGTGGGTCATCAGTGAGGACAGTGGGCCCACGAAGGATGATGCCCCGTGCCTCACACACATCTATTACTCGTACCAGAATCTGACAGAGGACTTCAATTCAGGGCTGGTTGGGCCCCTGCTCATCTGCAAGAAAGGTAAGCCAACAATAAGGCAAGACTGCATCTGCAAAGATGCTATGGTGCTGAGGAGCGCCGCCACAGGCAAGGTCTGCGAGCATCTTGGTGACTTCTGGTCCGTCAGGCAAACAGAGAAAAATGCAGGTCCAAAGCACTGTTTGACAAGAGAATAAAGACCTCACATTAGAACTTGGGTCAGTGGGGCCAGGGAGATGGCTCAGTGGAAGAAGCGCTTACCTAGCAAGCGTAAGGGCCTGAGTTCAATCCCTGGTTCCGCCAAAAAAAAAGAAAGAAAGAAAAGAACTTGGGTCATCTTCAGTTTCTTCAAATTCCCCCTTCATCTCAACCATATGAGCTTCTCCCAGCATATGTCTATTTGTGAGCATGTTCTGATGTCGTATTTATACAGTCATATTTACTGAGAGGCTAAATCTTCCTGAAAGCATACAAGAACCAATTTTCTGCTGCACTCTTGGCAAGAACTTTGGCTAACATAACTGACATGGCTAAAGTTTGGGTTGGTAATTTGACATATAAAAACATGAAACCTCAGCTTCCTTTCTCGTAACAAGCTGAACACTTCAGATGGGAGGGTTCAAAGCTATTCAAATGACTTTATAGGAAATTACATCAAGTAGGCTTCTTAGGAACAGGCTTGGTTTTTCCATTTATCCCAAGAGAATTCTGCTCATCTTTCATTTTCAATGAAAAGCAAAGAATCACAATAAACTATACCAATGGACTCTGTCTAGATATGTACACAGACCAGACCTACACACATGCCCAACTCATTTATTCAACACATACATACATGATTATTACCTAGTATATTGATGACACTGAAAAAAATTTTAAGTTTTGAAAAGTTCTTCTATTGTACCATCAGCAGCATTTTCCCCTCAGATGAGAATAAGTTAATCACGATAATCAATTTTCTAACTCTCCATTTCATCTACAAGACAGCTGCACCAACCATAGAGTGTGATGCTTCTACCACCTGAGCTAAGGCACACACATTTTGGCCTAGTAATGCTGAAGAAATGGATTATTTTACAGAACACTGGTAATCACCAAATTCTTTCTGCTCCAGGTGAAGTTTACCTTTATTTCTCTGTTCCCTAAATCTTCAAAGTGTCAAAAGAAATAATGGGTCACCAGAAATGTAATGACTCCCACCCACTATTACTCCATAAGGATGCTATTTTAAAAAGTAAGAACTTCTCAGAGTTGACATTATCATGATTGGCCACTTTCTTTCCTTAAACTCTTCGCTAAATTGGAAAGGTAACAAGCCTTCAGTGCAGGATGTTAACAGAACCACATCTTTCCTGTCAGGCACCCTAACTGAAGATGGGACTCAGAAGATGTTTGACAGACAACATGTGCTGCTGTTTGCTGTGTTCGATGAAAGCAAGAGCTGGAGCCCATCGCCGTCTGTAATGTACACAGTCAATGGTTATGTGAATAAATCAATGCCAGGTAACACATGCGCCCTGTGCCCTGTGAAAGTGGTAGAGTCATTACTACCTTGGCTCCACTGTTTTCCTCAAGGGACCAGAGAAGTGGATCATATTGGCTGTTTTCAACTCCTAATTAGAATGCTATCTGATCTAGGGCAATGGTTCGTAAACTCTTAGCATTTTTTCAAAATAGAAAGTACAACTACCAAATTGGATTAAGAGAAAATGTGACACTCCACTAGGTATCATGCTCTGAGCAGGTTTTACTTTGGCCTGTGCCTCCAGGGTATCAGTCCAGTCTCCCTTAGTGACATCTGTGGTCCTACCCACCCACTTGTACTGAAATTGAAGGCCATTCCCTCGCAGTGAAGGCCAGAAGAAAGAGTATAATGAAGACACTCCTAAGGAAAATGAACAGAAGATTAGGAGAAATCCCTAAAAGAAAAATACACTATTGATATTTAAAAGTTTGATGGACGACTAATATTCGATGGCACATAGAATGTTTTCTCCTCCTGTCTGCATATAGACTATGAAAAAATAAAATCATAGCAACTACTAGGTAGAGAAAACCCTCTGACTTCCACTGAATAAGCCCATTTTTTATTACTATAACAAAATGACTAAACCCAGGTACTTTATAAAGAAAAGACCTCACCATTTTAAAAATGTCTAAGGCTGGGGAGAGAGCTTGGCAGTCTAAGAGCCCTGCCTGGCAAGTGCAAGGATCCACGTTCAATCCCCAGTACTATATGCCATGCTGGCCCTGCACCAAGGAGACCACCAAGACCAGGTGTGGTGGCACATGTCTGCAATCCCAGCACTGGGGTGGCTGAGACGGGAGGATCACTTCGAGTCCAAGCTGCATAGCAAGACCCTGTACCAAATAAATAAATAAATAAATAAAAGATTAAAAAAGTCTAAGATTGGGCAGCCCCTTCAGTTCAGCCTCAGGTGTATACCCCCTCATATGTGTCACAACATGAGGGATGAACCCCAGGGGAAATGGCTACATAGAGGAGAGGTCAAACACATGGGTGCCATTGTTTTACAGCAGCTCACTCTTGTGAGAATTAATCAGTCCTGTGAGAACTATATTACTCCCTTTCAGGGGCAGCACCTCCATGATCAACCTTCCACTAGGCTCCACTCTTTGTCACACTCTAACTCCTGGAGTTCCACCACCTCAGCACCACCACCCGGAGGACCAATCCACTGGCACAAGGACTTGTAGGGACTCATTACAACCTCATCCAGACATTAGCACCCAGCCTAGACTACCTCATCTACTCCTGGTAGAACTGACTTAGAGCCAAAGGTCCGTGGCATATAGGAACCAGACTTAGAGAAAAGATTCCCTATTACAAACACTAAATTTCTGAAAGCCATTCTTTATGTCTGAATACCACAATGGCTTCTTCTTTGAAGCTGAGGTCTCAGTAATGCTTTTGGATTATGTTCCATTTCATCTGCTCCATCTTCCAGGTGAGTTATTAAAGGAGCTTGGAAAGCCAGGGAGATCTGTACTCACACCTCCCTCACTTCCCTACCTTAGTGTTAGCAATCAGTTACCTCAAGGTGACAACCTACAGAAACGAATTAACCATCTATCCATTTACAGCCTGTGCCCTAGCAGAGTGAACAATCCATAGAAATATATGCATTTTTTTAAAACACAAAAACTTGTAGATCACAGCTAAACCACACTGTTCTAGCCCACAGGTCAAAATAAAAATTACTTGATTTCAAGATTACAAATTTGTAATTGAACAAAAAAATAAAGAGGCATAGAGGAGAGAGAAATGAGAAGAAAAACATCATTAACAGAAACAGAATAGTGCCTATAAAGGTCCCTGCCTCAGGAGCAATATAAATTGAATAAATTGATAAGTGCTTATAGGTGTGTTAACTGCTGAATTCAATATGAGCATTTATTTGGGGTGGATGCATGTTCCCACCAAAGCCTCCTTCCTATAGTCTAGCTTCTTGCTCTCATAAGTGATGCCAGTAATCTCCACCTTGTTACAAAGATCTAGGGTAAGAGGACAGATCTGAGCCCAATCATCTAGTATCTGATGACTGTGGATCTGAAATTACAAAGTATGCCAAGGATGTAAGCCAAGGCTAGAAGGCAGGACTGGAATCTCTCACAGAACAAAACAGCACTTGCCTAGTCACTGCGGGAGAAAAAGGAGCAAAACTAAGCTTTTGCCTTCAGTTCTGCTTACTCCTGCCTTGGAAAGCTCCCAGCAGCCCAGCATAATGAGGATAATCCACTGTGTTTTAAGGAAAGCATGCAACCCATGTCATTTATTGCCTTGTCACTAAAGCAACAAAAAAGTAGATAAAGAAGTGATCGAATTTTCTCAATCTCCACACCTTTGTGTAAGCAGAGATTCGAGCTCTCAGTGATAGAATGGCTCTGCTGACTTTTTCAATTAAAACTAGATTGGTGTGAGCAGCCATCCTATTTTGCCCAGGCCTTTATGAATGCTGGCCCTGAAATTCCTGCATCCTGGGACATCCCTCATTCCTGGGGAAACAGAATGGTCACCTGCTTGGTCCCCACTTTGTCTCAACCCTTTAGAAAGCCTGTACCTCTGAACCAAGGTGGCCCCTCCCCAACTACCAGGCTTTATTCTTACCTCTCTAATGCCACACCTGCCATGAGCTATGACTGTCTATTTGTCCGTAACTCAGACATCTGCTTTTGCTGAAAAGGAATCACAACTGGAGCCTCTGTACCTCCAACCCCAAACTTTACATGTCTTTGATGAATGACATTTTGATCACAGAGCACTAACATGAATGACTCTTTTTGCCTGCTGTTTCTTCCTTTCTCTCAGCTATCACAGTCTGTGCCCATGACCAAATCAGCTGGCATCTTATCGGAATGAGCTCTGGGCCGGAACTGTTCTCCATTCACTTCAATGGCCAGGTCCTGGAGCAGAACCATCAAAAAGTTTCCACTGTCACCTTGGTCAGTGCTACCTCCACTACAGCCAACATGACTGTGAGCCCAAAGGGAAAGTGGACCATATCTTCTCTCATCCCTAGACAATTTCAAGGTAAGAAATTCTTCTTACAGTCTTGCTTCTTTCTTCCTTCCCCCACAAAACTCCCTCTGTCTCCTCTGCTCATTCAAGCCATCCTAATGCAAAGCATACAAGCTTTGGTTCTTAATAGCAGACTTTAGATATTCTGCTCTTAGACTTAAAACTCCTTTCTATTTCCTCGAAAGGAGAAAGAGGAAGGAAATGCATACAGTGGTACTCTTCCTTGGGGGTGTGTCCTACGTACCAAAGGACTATGATTCACACACTTAGAGAAGCACCACATTACCCAAAAATGTAAAAGTTTTAACATGAAAACTCCTGGGGCCAGGGAGATAGCTCAGTAGCATAAACACAAGGTCCTGAGTTTGATCCCTGGTACCAAAAAGAAAAAAGAAAACTCTTGGATCCCATGAGATATATTTGACTTATCAAATATATCATTACAGCTAAAAGGCAGGTTTAGAGAAGAAGGTCAGAGAAATTAGGAAAGGAAAAACTCAGCAAGGGTTATGTGGTATCATGTAAACAAAGCAATTTTCCTGCTAATATTTTTCTTTAAAACTATTCAGAAGAGGGTCTATGTCTAAAGACACAAGTCTAAGTAAAAAAACTATTAAGAGAAATCATCTTGTTACATACATGATGTGTGTAAGGAATGTGTATGAGGAGGAAATACTCCACGGAATCATTTCATTTTCTTTTCACAACAAGCAGGCAAAATTACATTTAAAGGACAGTGGTCCCTCGCGGCACAGGTTGTTTCCAGATACCTCTACAATAAGTGAAAATCAGTGAAGTAGCGAGGATATATATATATATATATTTTATAAACCCTTCCCACACTCTTACAAACCTTTCCCACTTTTTTTTTTCTTTATTTTAGGGAAGGGTCTACAGTATGTTCAGCATCTCACTACTAGATCAGACTCGGAGTAATCCGCCTGTTTACAGCCTCCCAAATGCTGGGATTACAGGCACACGCCACCATGCCCGTCTCAGCAGGCCCTAGGGGCGGGGCCAGCAAGGCAGACCCAGGGCCGGGGATAGAACCCCTGGCCTCTGCGCCTTCTCGCAGGCGTCCCACACTTTTAAGAACTCTTCTAATATTTTTAACCATCTTCTAAGGGTGTAAACCTACATAATATTAGCAACATATGTATACTAACCATATGGTATGACAAAATCCCTCAATATAATGAAAAATCCATGATAAATAATTTAGATTAAACTTTTTGGAAACCCGCAAAACAGTGAATTTGCAAAAGCTGGGCCACGAAATAGAAAAAGGAATACTGCCATCAAATTATCACAATATCCCTGGAAAACAAAGTTCCTGGTATTAATAAAACAAAACTAGAACTAACATTTATTATGGACAAATGCTTTGTATATTGTTATTTAATTTTAATGACAGTTTCATGAAGCATGTACTAACAATACCATCACCTTACAGACTAATGGACAGATAACAGGAAAAATAAGAATTCAAAAATCTAAGTCACTGGGTGTTAAAATTCTGAGGAAATCAAGAAGAAATCCTTCAATTCCAGAAGAAACAATGGGAACATTTCTAAGATTTTCCTCTAACCTTTCCTTCTTTTCTCACTGGTCTTTGTTTTTGTCCTTTCCTTTTGTCCACTGAAAGATTCCAAACCAAAATGTTTAAAAGTTGCTTGAGCAGCTGTTATTTTTATTATTTTATTTTACTTTTATGTATTTAGTACAGGGTCTCACTATGCAGCTCGGACTCGTAGTGATCCTCCTGTTTTCAGCATCTCCAGCACTGGGATTATAGGCATGCACCACCACGCCTGGTCTTGGTGGCTGGGCTCAGTGCGCCCAAGGGCAGGGCCCTATCCCCGGTTTTGCCAAAAATAAATAAATAAATAAATAAATAAATAAATAAATATTATATATATATCTTAATCATCAATAATTTCTTCTCTTATACTCTCTGTGTATCTTAATTTAGCTGGCATGCAGGCTCACATCAATATTATAAACTGTCCAAAGAAAACCAGGACTACTAAGAAACTAACCCTTGAACAGAGTCGGTACATCAAGAGGTGGGAATATTTCATTGCTGCAGAGGAAATCATGTGGGATTATGCACCTATAATACCAGCAAGTATGGACAAGTGAGTCTTTGGGGTTCACGACACTTTGTAAGAAATTAAGGCATGTTCCCTGGGGTCCCCGGTGAGAAGGGGTAAAGACTCATCAGGAGATAACTTGCAAGGGGATATATGTAGTGGTTTACATTCAGGCCTTCTTATCCAAATCATTCTTGAATTACCCCAGAATCACCAAGAAAACTTAACGTAATAACAATAACAATAATAATAATACCCCCAGAAGTTACCATTAGTTGAATGCTTGATACTGCTTAATATTAGATCCTTTCTAAGGCTTTCTCTTCAATTCTATAGGTCACATATTGGTCTTTCTTTAGTAGAAGAGGGACTATGGCAGATTCAAATAGCTCTTAAACACTTGGGAAAATACTCAGGTTATTTCATGGTAAGAGAAAGGCAAATTGAATTTCATTGGAGTACTGTTTTTGCCTAACTAACTTATGAATTTCGAGGACACTATCTGTTCACAAGCTGTGGGAAACAAGCAGTGTCATATATGGCTAATGGAAAAGGACACTGGTAAAGCCACCCTGCAGGATCATTTGCCAAAGTGTATCTAAATTATGATGCAGCAGTTTTATTCTGCATTTAACCCAGAAGTCTTACTCTGGGAATTTAACTATATAAATCTTGTTTACAGGTAAGATGATAATGCACAGGACATTCACTATTGTACTATTAGTATAAAATTCAAAACAAACCAAAATCTCCATTACTAGGAAGCCAATTTATGAAATTATAATACATCCACATAATGGAATATTATTCATGTGCACAACAAAAGAATGAAAACATTCTCTATAGACAAATATAAAATGTCCCCCAAAATGTACTATTAAATAGTTAAAAGGTAGTACAGAGGGTATAAATAGTTGTCTTCTGCTGAAGGAACTGGGAGTAAAAATATTTATATTTGCATTTCTGTGAGTCATATTTACATATGTTTGCATAAAGATGCTATAATTATACACCTAAAATTAAGAAAATTCCAGGAGGGTATCAGATGTGAGAGTTTTAACTGCTATAAAAATTGTGTGACTATATTTTCTATTTTAAAAAAACTAAAAAAGGAAAAGAACAAAAGAAAATCTGCTAAGACTAGGTAGTGACAAAACAGATACTTGGTGACTCTGGTGGTAATCAATGTTTCTCACTGTACAAAATAAATACATGAATTAGATACTCTATTATGGAGTTTTTGCTTTTGAAAACTATGGCAATAACCAAAGGAAGGTGGCTGATGTTGCTACTGCAGGATGTCATTTGTCTCAATAGCTGCAGAAGCTGAGCAAAGAAGGTTACTTTCAGCCAGCACTAGAGCTGAGTGGATGGTGGCTGGGATGGCCCAGCCGCACAAAACTGGAGCGAATGAAGATAGTGAAACCTTTTGGGGGTGGGAGAGATGGTTTTGGAGATGTAGAAGTATCTAGAAAGCCAGAAGGAGTATCACAAACTAAGTGATAGTAAAGACATCCTAAAAACACTCCTAGTACATCCTACCCTTTCAGCCAGTGTAGACCTAGAGATATCTAATTCTAAGGGCTATTCCAGTACTACTGGGGTCGCTACTTGAGGAAGTATTTTAATTTTTAAATTATTATTATTTCATTCCACTTTAAGAGTATACAAATCTCTGCACTTGGATAATTTCTCAAACCAAATTGGAAAACATTATAAGAAAGTTGTTTACAGACAGTTTGAAGATGAGAGCTTCACCAAACGCATAGACAATCGCATTCATCATAATGGGATTTTGGGCCCTATTATCAGAGCCCAGGTCAGAGACACACTCAAGGTAAGTAACAGAAATACAGAAGCATGGAAGACATTGAATAGTGAAAGGTGTATCAGGAGTATATATTTCTTGCTCATATTTAAGAGTATTTGTATAAGTTTAAATGCAAACGTAGCTTTTAGCTTTAATTTAGTATTTTCATTTATTTATAACCTACTTAATAATATAGGAATCTGGGGCAGATTACAAATTATAAAAAAATAAGACAGTGAATATATTGGGGTGATAGATGACATAGGAAAAAAGAAAATAAAGCCCCAACTATGTATAATGGAATCCATACCATGTGATGTCAGGCCATGTACAAAGTCGGTCCTAGGTTTCCTAGGTTTCATAGTAGCCAATGTAAAAGGGAAATCTGTCTGAGCTAGATTTACATATCTGTGAATGAAGCAGAGTTTTCCCTGATACCAAAGCCTCACAGGAATTTCCTCTAAGACTCCTTCTAGTGAGAGTGCTATATGACACAGCTGACGATAGCCTTGACAAATTCCTACAACTGTTACGGACTTTAGAAATTGACCATATTTTTAAAATTATATTTCTCATTGTCACTGAGTGAACACAGTTGAGTATAAACAGTTCTGTAATATGGTATGTGGCTCTTTAATGCTTAGCACTGGCTAAAGTAAATTTAGGTGTATACCAAGATCTTGGCACTCTCCTTGGTTGATGTTCTTTAGATAATACCTAACACCACTATAGCAAGATGGAAAAGAACATAGAATCGAAGGGTATGATATCTGGCAAGATCTAGAGTGTAGATAATCTGTGGACTAAAGATACCTCAAAAGTTTTGGCGATCAACCAAGTAGAAGGTTAAGGTTCTCTTCTGAAGATTACTGTGCCTAACTAGGACTCCTGTGTGAATCATGCCTTAGGCAACGGTGAACCTTTCAGAGACTGAGGGTCCAAACTGCACCCCAAAGCCACTTATTTATCTCAATGTGCCAAAACTACAATTAAATCTGAATGCTGAGATTTTAATTTAGAAGATATAACTCATACATTAACATCTTTTGCCTTTAAAAAAAAATGTGCCATAGGTTTACCTCCACAGCCTTAGACAAAGCCTATTCTGTTCATTTAAAAAAAAAAGAATAAAAATATTAGGATTGTATGTCCCTTAGCCTCCCCCATTCCCCATTCTTTCTAGGTGCTCTTAGCAAGTGTAAACACACATTCTTAGGAATTAGGATCTGGCTACCAGACAGTCACTTGCAAGAAGAAAGCTTCAGTAACAGGGCTCCTGGGAGGTCTAAGAGACAGGACAGGGAGACTGTGATCTAGACAAAAGGAGCAGAGTCAAAGTGAGATGTGACCAAGCTGAAAGACCAAGGGTGGGAGAGAGCACTCAGCCTGGTGAGGCTAATACACGGTGAAGAACATATAATTTCTCCTGTCCTGCCTTCCAAATTCAGACTTCCATATTTTCTACCTTCACACGTCAATAAAACTCTCAGAGACTTCTTACCACACAATGGAAGCTGCAGACCATAAACAGAACTAATTTTCCCATTTAATGTGTGCAAATACAGAGAGAGAGAGAGAGAGAGAGAGAGAGAGAGAGAGAGAGAGAGAGAGAGAGAGAGGTAAATACAAAAAGCTAACATCATGCATTAACTCTCATGAGTGACCTTAAATCTTAAAATAATATATTTGATTTAATTTTGTAGATTGTGTTCAAAAACACGGCCAGTCGCCCATATAGTATTTACCCTCAAGGAGTGACCTTCTCTCCTTATGAAGATGAAGTCAACTCTTCGTCCACCTCCGGTAGGAATCTTTCACTTCTACTGAAAGAAACCAGTGACTCCAGACATTGCCATGTTTTTCCTTTGCCCCCTTTGCACCATAGTGTAACTGGTACAGTCAGCAGTATGCATATAGTGATGTCCTAAAACTTCCAAGCAAGCTCTGCTCACTCCAAGGAGTTTGCCTGTCTGTAGTTACAAAATACAGTACAGTATCCTTTATTAGTGTCATAGTGGCCTCTAGTGGAGCAATATTAAATGATGACATGCTCTCTGGAAGTCTTATATGAAGTGTGATAAAAAAAATGTCATGAATGTTGACATAAAACATTTTAAATACTTAATATAACAAAAGGCACACTGCCATTCATCCCCTCAAGATAGCCCCTCACATTCAATCCCCAGGCCTGCCATGCTGGCCCCACCCCCAGGCCCCACTGAGACAGCAATTGAGACTGGGCATGGTGGCATGCACCTGTAATCCCAGCTCTTGGGAGGTTGTAAACAGGAAGATCACTATGAGTAGGATCTAGTAGTGAGACCCTGAACACCTGTAGACCCTTCTCTAAAATACAGAAAAAAAAAAGATACCCCTTCTCACTTTGGACACACTCATCCCATTGTCCTTGCCACTTTCTGAAGCAGTTCCGGAAGTCCTCTTTTGTAAATGTCTTCTCTTGGTCATCTCAATGTCCTGAATCCATTCAAAATGTTTACAGCAATTTCCGTCATTTAAAACCATTACATTGTGTCCTCAGCCACTGAATTCACCAGATCTGGTACCAAGAAACTTCTGGCTCTTTTGCAAAGTCAAAATGACCATGAAAGGTAAACATTCCTGATCAGTTCAGGACATCAAGGCAATCATAGCAGTACAACTAAAGATGCCCAGGACAGAGGACTTCTAGAACTGGTTCAGAAAGTGACAAGAATGATAAGTGTATTCAAAGCAACACAGAGTATTTTAAAGGGGGATTAATGGCATGTGTCTTTTAGGGTAGTAAATTTTTAAACATTTAAACATTCAGCATATTTTTGATCATAGTAGGTAGTGTTAAATGTAAAGAGAATATCTTTACCCAACATTAATTGGTTCTAGTGAGAACTAAGATAAAATGAATGTGTATACTATTAATATAATTTTCCAAATGAAGGGCATGCTGATTCCATTTCTTTCCAGGAAACCACAGCATGATCCGAGCAGTTCAGCCTGGGGAAACTTATACTTACAAATGGAACATTCTCGAGTCTGATGAACCTACGGACAGTGACGCCCAGTGCTTGACAAGACCATACTACAGTGATGTAGATGTCACCAGGGACATTGCTTCTGGCCTGATAGGGCTTCTTCTAATTTGTAAGAGCAGGTCCTTGGATATGCGAGGCATACAGGTATTTTATTTTTGAGGTATCCTTTTAGAAATTAAGAAGCAATATATATGTACAAACTCCCCAAGATCAATATAATTATTATGTACTACAAACATATAGTAATAAAAAAAAAATAGATGGGGAAAATTTTTAGGCATTTCTTATGGGTGGAACAACTAGGTCTCCTTGCTCAACAAAGCGGCTTTTTCTTCTAAAGAACAGTACATATTGGTTATTCTTTAGCCTACATGATAACATTTACCATTCTGGCTAATTTTTGTCTTGCCTGTTTTCATTTGGATTCTCACTGCCCGAGGCAATTATTTAATGGTGATAGTGCATTTTGGTTTGGTTTCAAACCCAGGTCTATTTTTATTGACTATGCAATAAATAAATCACACTGCCTCTCCTAACTTCTTCTCTTTGTAATAATCCTCCCTAAAATTTTTATAAGGTGGTATGCGGGCACCAGTGAGATACCACCAGGTAAAACTATACGGCTCTATAAGCAAGTTTGTTATTTTAGAGACCTACAATAGAGAGAAATAGGAGAAATTCCCAGAAATAAAAGGACTTCAGAGACACAGTTTCTAGTGATGTTGACCCCTGTCAATGGTCTTTGTCTAGTGAGGCTAAATTATACAAAAGAATATGAACAAAGATAATAATCTGTGTTAATCTTCATTGAAGATCAATAGTCTTTATTAACTCAAATTTTCTAATTGGGCTCAGCAATAATCAAAAGGGTCTTATCTCAAGGCTCACAAAATAAATATATGTGTTAAGAAACAAATATATATGACTCCAGATCTTTATCTATTAAGGTAAGATAGGGCATGGGTAGGGAGAGACATAAGGCTTTCCTACTATAGCCTTCTTTTTAATCTTTTGCGACTGTTTAGGACACATTCAGTCAGTGTGCTGTGCTGCCCTGAGAACATCCTCCAATCTTTGGATTTTCCAATCTGTTTTCTCTTATCTATTAGCTGTAACTCTAACAAATGCTCAGTGTACAATGGGCTCTCATAATCACCTGAATGACGAGGTGTCAGCGGCCCTAAGGAGAGTGCCTCTAGGGCCTCTGAGATCTTGGTGTTCACAGATAACCAGCTAGTGCATTAATCACTAAACCCAGCCCCTCCATCCTCCAGAGGGCAGCGGACATTGAGCAGCAGGCTGTGTTTGCTGTATTTGATGAGAACAAGAGCTGGTACATTGAGGACAATATCAACAAGTTCTGTGAAAATCCTGAAACAGTGAAACGGGATGACCCCAAGTTTTATCAATCAAACATAATGAGCAGTAAGTCAGACCACTGTTTTTATCCATCAGTTTTTCTTTCAGTTGGTTGAAGTATGCCTGTGTCTAGAAGTAGAGGCATAGACAAGAAGGTACTCACCAAAGAACAGCTGTCTCATCTTATCTAGTTTATAATGCAGTTATCCTTAAAACAACAGGTTTAAAATGCAGTTATCCTTAGAGTGTTCTTGATCTGCTTTCAATGTGGTACATGTGAGCACACTCCAGCCAAAGTGCAAGGCAGGCAGGGAAGGTGCTGCAGGTCTTGGCCAGCAGTATCTGAGGATCTGCAGTACAGGGTGAGTATTCTTTATCTAAAGCCGGAGCAGAAATAAAACTAGTAATCCAAAGCTGGGTCATCAAATCAAAGTAAAGTAAGAAAGTCTGGAGACCCAAGAGTCCTGAAAAACAAAACATTATGAAGAAGTCAGTGATAAGTTCAGAAGCAGGAAATGTTCTCAGAATTTGCTGTAGCTTCATGTTATTGCTATAAGAAGTTTAAGAGAAATTTCACTGAGGCAGCTGGAAGCAAACGTCTCTACCACAGCCAGGGGCCCTGGTACTGTTCTGAAAAGTCAGGACCCACCTTCCTCACCACTGAAAAGTAAATAATCATATCTAAGAGGATGACTTCTGCATGATCTGCTCATATGGTTTCAGATGACTGACAACTAGTATTATCAGAGCTGAGAAGTGCTGTGACAAATAATTTCATACAGGGTGTTATTCTCAGCTTTCTTAATATAATTTCATTTCAGCAATGAGTCTTCCATAGTACTAAACCAGTACTGTGCAACAGAAATTATATTTTCTGGTGGCCATATTAAAAAGCAAAAGAAATAATTGAAGCTAATTTTACTAGTGTGATTTATTCAACTCAATATGTTCTAGCTACTATCATTTCAAAAATGTAATCAGTATAAAAATGAATGATATTTACTTTACTATGATCTTTGAGATCCAGTGTGTATTTTATTCTGATATCAATTACAATGTTGTCCACCCACACTGCAACTGTTCAACAGCCACCTGTAGCCCATGGCTACCACACTGGACAATGTAGTTGTTCTGTACTAGGTAGGAAGCATCTAGAATGGGATATAAATTAATAACACATTATTTTAGTGCTTCAACATGTATTTGTTAAATGCCTGCTTAAAAATCTGTTAAGTGTCAGACATTATATTGGTATTAGGTCTATAACAGTAATCCATGTAAACATGGGTCCTACCTTTCTAGAAATGACATTTTTTAACTGATTATCATGGTTAGTATATAAGGTAATTGAGATATAGCCTAAAGCAGTGTCTCTTTTAATGAAAACTATGAATGCAATACCTGGAAGCAAACATCTCTACCACAGCCAGGGTGCCTGGTACTGTTCTGAAAAGTCAGGACCCACCTATGAAAACTGTGGTTTACATAGATGATGCGAGGTGGCAATAAAAAGACAGAATATGCTAAGTAGTTTATTTTAGGAACATTCGTTCTTAATGACTAATATGTCAAGAAGATGGATTTTTCTATTATTATATTCCTGCAGACAGAATTATTCAAGACAATATTCAAATTTGATTCTTAGAATATCTTTAAAGGCAAAGCACAGAGCACACACAAAAAAAGAGCAAATAAACCAATGCAAATGCAAGGCTCTGTCTTCATCCTGGCATTACTTTATTGGCCAACTCAGGGGAATAAGCTCTCCTTTGAGAGGTGTGAATCTGACCTTCAAGTCACATTAGATCTGGTAAAGCTTATCATGGATAGTCACTGCTTCGACACAACCAAATTAACACTGGGACCTCCATCTTAGGTATAATTAGACATGTCCTTTGGTTAGCACAGGCCTGGCAGTTTAACAGATTCTTCTCTTCCAGCTATCAATGGTTTTGTGCCTGAGAGTATAAATACTCTGGGGTTCTGCTTTGACGACACTGTGCAGTGGCATTTCTGCAGTGTGGGCACTCAGGATGATATCCTGACCATTCACTTCACTGGGCACTCGTTTATCTATGGGAAGAGGCATGAGGACACCTTGACCCTCTTTCCCATGCGTGGAGAGTCTGTGACTGTCACAATGGATAATGTTGGTGAGTAGACATGTGGACACTTGGGAGGGAGCTGACTTTGGCTTCTGGTCTGAAGGGCCTGCTGCAGCTCTCCAGACGCCTGCTGCTCCCAGGGTCTCCCCCAGCCTCCTGCAGGCTTTCCTTTCACTGCTTTTCAGCATTTCTGTGTGGGTAACTGTTGACTTACTTGAGTCCAGCTCTTTTATGGGGCTGCCTTTATATATCTCTGAGCCAAGTGGAAAATAAAGACATACAATAGCAGAAAGACAAGGAAGTAGCCTGAATGTGTCAGCAATAAAGGAAATTTTCATTGATCAAAATCTTTCTTTTTTCTTTTTCTTTTTTTTTTTTTTTTTTTTCAGAACCGGGGATGGAACTCAGGCCCTTGCACTTGCCAGGGAAGCACTTACTCTACTAAGCCAACAAAATGTCTTTTTCAAATAGTATAAGACTCCATCTACTCTAGCATTAACAATTACCAAATAGAGTGCCACAGCGGTTGCCTTATGGACAGCTTTGAAGTACAGACATGAGTTTGAATCCTGTTCCATAATTCAATCTCTTATAATCCAGGACAAATTGCTTGGACCCATAAAGTTCAAATTATTCACCTAAAAAAGTACAGTAGCACTTTAGAGTTTATTTGGCTATTAATTATAGGTCAAGGGCCTAATACTCAACAAGTGGGAACTCTTGAAGACATGCCAAGAAATTTTCAGTGTGTCAATGACTAATACTATTTAAAAGACATTCAAGATTTCCCTGGTCCCACATGAATTATTTATTAGAAACATCTATTTCTTACTTATTGTGAATAACTGCCATCATCATCCCAACTCCAACTCTCAAACCAGAGTTAATGAGATGTTAATGATATTTAAGGTTGGCTTTATTAATGATTCATCCCAATTTTTTTTAATGTATTTAGTACGTGGTCTACAGGGTCTCACTACACAAATTGGACTCCTAGTGATCCTCCTGTTTTCAGCCTCCCAAGCGCTGGGATTACAGGCATGCATAACCATGCCCAGTCATCTCAGCACACCACGGGGGCAGGCCAGCATGGCAGGCTGTGGATTGAACCTGGTCCCCATCTGCCTAAGCAGGTGCTTTACTCTGCTGAGCTATCTGGCCGGCCCTCATCCCATTCTTAATATATTCTAAAACAATGACTCTTGAAATAACTTGCTGCCTTTTCTACTCTCCCTAATCTACACCAAGACTTTTTTGTGTGTGTGGCTGGATCAACACACCTTTGTGGGGGGTAGTAGCCTGGCATGTAGTATCAGGGATGGAACTGCAGTCCTTGTGCTTGCCTAAGCTTGCCTAAGCAGAGGCTTCAGACTGCTGAACTATCTTGCCAGCCCTCCAGCAATACTTTTAGTCTGTATTCTGTTAAATGAGGTAAGTGTACTGTGTTCTTGTATTTCAAGCAATATGAAATTTCTAAAAAATAAAATCCTAAATATATTATTCCTAGTTTCTCAGCTATGTGTGCCAGTAACTAATAGTTCACAGTACTAGTGGTCCTCAGTGGTCCACAGGTCACGCTTGGGTATATCTCACTAAATTTCATTAAAAATTATTTGTTTAGGGCTGGCGCAGGGGCTGGGGTTCAATACCCAGTGGGCCTGCCAACCCCGCCCCCAGGGTGCACTGAGACAGGGACTGAAATGGGGTGTAGTGGAGCAAGCCTGTAATCGCAGCGCTTGAGAAGCTGAAAACACAAGGATCTCAATAAGTCCAATCTACATAGTGAAACCCTGTAGACTCTGCACTAAATACATTTTTAAAAAAAAATATTATTTGTTATAATGGTTCCTAGTGTTTTTACATATTTTTTTGGACCTTCAACCTTTTCTCTGTTTCTCTTGTGAAGGAACTTGGATGCTGACTACCATGAGTTCCAGTCCAAGTAGCAGAAATCTCCGGCTGAGATTCAGGGATGTGAAATGCATCCGGGAAGATGACGAAGATTCATATGAGATTTATGAACCTCATAAATCGACACCCATCGATGTAAGGAAGATACACCCTCCTTCAGAAAATGAACTTGAGGAGACTGATCCAGATACTGACTACCAGGAAAACCTGGCTTCAGCATTAGGAATTAGGTCATTCAGAAATTTGTCCCTTGATCAAAATGAAGATGAATTCAATCTCACTGCCCTTGCTCTGGAGAACAGCTCTGAGCTCATTTCTCCAAGTACAGATGTAGCTCCAGACTCCAATTCTTCACTCTCAAGAACCATTGTAAATAGCTTCAAAGAATCTCAGAAAACCCTTTCTAATGCAGAAACCACCATAGCTGGTCACCTCTTGGAACACCTCAGTGGCACAGACAAAAACCCAGTTGTTAACTCTTCTATAGAGGATTATTCCAGCTCATATTCTGAATATGAGATAGAAGATCCTCTACTGTCAGATGTCAGAGAGACAAGCCTACTAGGTGCAAAAGGATTCAGAGATGGAGAACATGCTAAACACACAGAATTCAGGACAAAAAGAAAGCAATTAACAAAGAACAGGTTTCCCTGGATGAAATTACCAGCCTATAAAAATGAGAAACATTCAAACCAAGACAATACTTCTGCAAGAATGGGAACCTGGGAGGATCTTCCCAGTGTTCTGTTACTCTTAAAACAAAAGAATCCATCACATGTTTTGGATGGACAATGGCATGTGGTTTCTGAAAAAGGTAGCTATGAAATAATCCAAGATAATGATGGAGATATGGCTGTTAATGAGTTTCTGACCAGTCCCCAGAATGTCTCTAGCACTTGGAAAGAAAGCATGTCACCTGAAAACAAGCCAGGAAAGCAGAGTCACCACCCGAAGTATTCTGGATTTAGATATAAATCTCTACAAGTAGGACAGGATGGAAAAAATAGGGAGTTGAAGGAGAGACCATTACTCATCAGAACACGAAAAAAGAAAAGGGCACCAAAGCTTACATACCATATTCCTCCCTCTCCAGTGGGCATTCACTCCCTCAAAGGAGCACACTACACCACATTTTCAGACACTAAACTTAAGCAATCATTGTTACTCTATAGCTCCAATAAAACATCTCCACCCACAGACCTAAATCAAACACTCCCCTCTATCAATGTCCAAATAGGCTCACTTCCTGATCATACTCTGAGCCCACCAAATGACACTGGTCAAACGAGCTTCCCTCCAGATCTTTATCAGATAGTGCCCCCAGAGGAACATAATCAAACATCTCTTATTCAAGACCCTGATCAAATGCACTCCATTACCAACACTAGTCACATATCTTCTCCTCCAGAGCCTAGCCAAATGCTCAGCTATGACTTAAGCCAGGAGTTATACCCTGTTGACATTAGTCAATTATCCCATGCCCAGGAACATGAAGCATGGCCGCTACCTATGTCCTCAGGGCTCAGTGAACCATCTTCTCCTTCAAGCCAAGGTCAGATGACCTTCTCCTCAGAGCTCAGCCAGATGCCTCTCTCTCCAGAACTTGGTGAAGCCAAACTTTCTCCCAACTTCAGTCAGATGATCCCTTCCCCAGACCTCATCCAGATGCCTCTATCCTCAGAACTTGGTGGGACTGGCCTTTCTCCAGACCTCAGTCAGAAGAACTTCTCCCCAGAACTCAGTCAGATGTCCCTATCTACAGAACTTGATGAGGCCAGTCTTTCTCCAAATCTCAATCAGATGTCTCTACCCACAGAACTTGGTGAAACTGGCCTTTCTCCAGACCTCAGTCAGAAGAACTTCTCCCCAGACCTCAGTCAGATACCCCTCTCTCCAGAACTTGATGAGGCCAACCTTTCTCCCAATCTCAATCATATGTCTCTATCCCCAGAACTTGGTGAGACCAACCTTTCTTCAGAACTCAGTCAGATGACCTCCTCCCCAGACCTCAACCAGATGTCTACCCCGCAAGAACTCAATGAGACCAGCCTTGCTCCAAGCTTCAGTCAGATATCCCCCTCCCCGGATCTCAGCCAAATGCCTCTATCTCCAGAACTTGGTGAGACCAACCTTTCTTCAGAACTCAGTCAGATGACTTCCTCCCCAGACCTCAACCAGATGTCTACCCCCCAAGAACTCAATGAGACCAGCCTTGCTCCAAGCTTCAGTCAGATATCCCCCTCCTCAGATCTCAGCCAGATACCTCTATCTCCAGAACTTGGTGAGACAAAACTTCCCCACAACCTTAGTCAGACAACCTCCTCTCAAGATCTCAACCAGATAACTCTTTCCCTTGGCCTTAGCAAGGGAACTCTCTCTTCAGACATTACTGAAACAACCCTTCCTCCAAATTTCAGGCAAGCATCACATCCTTCAGACCTTGATCAGATATCTCACCCTTCTGAGTCTAGTCTATTATTGCCTCTTTCAGAATTTAATCAGACTTCTCCTTATCCAGACCTTGATCACATGCCACCATCTCCTCTCCCATCTCCCACATTCAATGACACTCTTATATTAAATGAATTTAATCCACCGGTTGTAGTGGGCTTCAGTGGAGATGATGGAGATTACATTGAGATTATTCCACGGAAAGAAGTCAAAATCACTGAAGAAGACTATGCTGAAATTGATTATGTGAACTATGATAACCCCTATCAAACTGATAGTAGGACAGATATCAACTCTTCAAGAAATCCTGATGACATTGCAGCATGGTACCTCCGCAGCAACAAGGGAAACAGAAAATATTATTACATTGCTGCTGAAGAAATATCCTGGGATTATGCAGAATTTGCACAAAGGTTGGGCTAGTTTTCTCCTTTCATATTATAATGTTGTCACTACTGTTAAAAGAAAATTACAATAGTCTAGGAAAATAATTATGGGAAAATTTTGTAGAATATAGTTTAGTTCCTATATTGCAATTTGGCCTATACCATTTCCTTTGTTAATTCAAAAGTTAGCTTCTCTTGGGGCTGGAGAGATAGCTCAGTACAATAAGTGCTTGCCTGGGAAGAGCAATGTCCTGAGTTCAATACCCAGTACCGAAAAAAAAAAAAAAATTAGCTTCTCTAATTTGGGCAATACCTGGATAATAAGAGAATCATCATAGTAAGAAGTCTGTGATAACCTAATGTAAATAAGGCCCCTCTTATTTTTTCTGCTATTACAGATGTTCCTACCCCCTCTTTCTGCTCCAGTGCAGAGCTTAACCTATCTATAGCTTTCTGATAGTCAATATGATGTAGTTGAAATTGGCTTTAAAACCAAATATTGATGTACAGATCTCCTTCTGAATTTACTTGTTTACAACACAAAGTTTCTAAGGGATCCAGATTTTTTAAAAGATCGTTTTAAAATCATTATTGCTAAAGGATAGAAAGTCATATTGGGTCAGAAAGTTATACTGGGTCGGGCTCTGTATTCAGGGCAATATAGGAAAGGGAGGAAAGAAACAATCCTTGGACAATGGAAGGTTCACAGGGACACAGAGGTTCACAGGGAGACAGCCTCATGACTGCACATAAACTGTCTAAGTAAAGCCTACAGCTCTTACAAACGCTGTCACACTAATTAGAAGCCAAAGTGAGCTGATGTGGTAGTACACGCCTGCAATCTGAGCTCACTGAGAGGCTGAGGCAGGAGACTCACACGTCTGAGCCCACCTGGCAATTTAGCAGCTCAGCAAGATCTTGTCTTGATTTAAAAAAAAAAAAAATTAAAATGGACTGGGGAAGTAGCTCAGTACAGAGGCTTTGGGTCCAACCCCCAGTACTACAAAACAAAACAAAATACAATTAGAGTAAGCAAACTATCTATGGGGTGATTTGTACACATTAACTCATTAATCTGCTGCCTGAGGTTTCTACATTAGAACTCTGCTCAAAATGTTTTCTTCTATGACTTCTGGCTTAAATGTTGTTCCCACTACTATACAAGAATTGTTCATTATTTGAGGCCTTCTGAGACAAGCACGGTGGGAGACAGGATTGGGAGTATGCAGAATAGAGATAGAACCAGTTCCTTCAAACTCATATCCCATTCCAAGTGTGCAGCCTGTTTTTGTTTGTTTGTTTTATGATGGACAAGGTTGCTTTGCCTGTCCCACCATGTTTTGTGAAACTATATGCAACAAACATAGTTCAGATGGATGAGATCTGTAGGGAAGAGAGTAGGAAGCAAGCTTTTTAATAAGAATTTCTATTAATGAGTCACGGAGTATAGTATATATTATAGATTTGATGGATGAGCTTTATGGATTATTTCCATAGACTTGGGAAATTTGTGAGTCAGAAGGAGAATCTGACATGCTTTGGTCCCAGATTAAGCTGATGAGCTACCTGGGGAAATAATAAATTTATA